GGAAAGGAAGTATTGGGTGATATGGTGGATGCTTCTACCCATGATTGCTACAATTTTGTTAACTTCAAAATCTTATTGAATGTGCTAAGTGAAGGATTATGGAAAATAACACATCCTAAGACAGCCCCTGCCCAGGGGGAAAGAGGAAGGCAGTGTGGTCCAGGATAAGGGAGAAAAGAGAAGGCAAATGTTAACCCTTCCCAATAACAATAAGTCCTAAAGGGACTGAGCGGTAAGCCATGGACTTTCATTCTTTCCCACTGCCCATGATTCTTGGAAGGAGAAAAGCACATAGTGAAGCTCTGGGTAACAACGGGTCCCAGGGGAAGAAGATAAATAGCAAACTCTGGCAGAGTTCCAAGCTTTCATCCCTTCCCAGTAACAATAAGTTTTGGACTTTTTTCAACTATTTTCCTGACTGCCCAAACGGACACATTCTGCTTCAGTCTCCAGTGATTCATTTACCCTCATTGTAACCTATAAAACTCAGAGCCCTCTCTAACCAGCAGCCATATTCTACCCAGAAAGTGAGCCCCTCCAGGGCCTGATTGACTGACTCTGCTGTGGGATAAAGGAAAGCTTGCTGGTCTGTTTGGGGGTCTGATTCTGTCCCAGTTATTTGTGCTTTCATAATGGTGCTGAAACCACTTTGGTTATTTTTGCTTACACTGAGGATAGCTGAGTGATAGAGACATTTGTGAAAAAGGAAATTTATCTAAAGGGAGTCATTTAGTCCTGCTGTGCCTTAGTCTCCTCACTCTTGTAATCAAAGGTTTTATTTCCTAAGCACGCTTATACATGGTCTGTCATACGTGCTTTCAGTTTTAACAGTTTATAGTGCATTAAGTCCTGTTTTAAGTGGACCATCATAAGCTGGTGTGGAGTTGACCTGGAGGATTTAAAAACCACTTCTGTTTAGCAGTGTTTGCTAGGTCTGCCATAAACATCATAGATCTGGATGTATTTAAATACCATGATAATGTAGTTGCATGAGATAGGTCTGCTCTGTCTTTATTCTGAGGCTTTTTTTTTTTTCTCCCTCATCGGCTAGTCAGACATCAACTGGGTGCAGTTAAACAGAACGGCTATAATTTGTTATTTATGTTGCTTGCTGGTTATGTGGAACAAGGAAAGGAAGAAAAGAAAATGGAAGCTGATGGGGGAAGTTACAGAGACTAAACCGAAAATTATAAGGTCCAGATCTAAAAATATGCCCCTCCACTTCTCTCTTCATCTTGAGTAACATTAATTGATCCCATCTTTTTTGTCTTTTAAAATTGTATGGCCACACAGGAAAGGCTTGGGACACCAACCTGGGTGATATTAATGAAATCCATAGGATTACCAACAAGATCTGGGAAATTCATCAACTATTTGGCACGGAAAATATGCACACCCACTCATGTCCTATATTTTGGTAAGGGATCTCAGGACCAAAACAAAAATATGACATCCCTGATTTATAAATGGGAAAGGGAGAGTGAGGCATGGTCTCCTTTGAAAACACCACTAAAAGTTATATTAAACCATGTCTCCTTGATATTCTTTATTCCTTTCTTTTTTTTCTTTCCCTTTTGCTTTCAAGTCCCACAGAGATTCACTGAATTTCAGTTTCAATTTTCAGTTTCAAAGATCTCTTCACTGTGCAGAATTTTCTTTCTTGCAGGGGTTCTTATTTTTGAAATTTATGCATTCCTTTTCCTACCAAGGAAGAGGATTATTAAAAGGAAGCTTTTATCCTTTCTCCCTGAGTCCCTCCCTCCCTCCTTCCCTTGTTTACATCCTTCTTTCTTTCTTTTCTCTCTCTCTGTTCCCTTCTCTTTCTCCCTCTCTCTCTCTGTCTCTACATATAGTTCTCTTCTTCTCTGTTTCTACCTTTCCCTTTCTTTCAACACTGAAGTAAAGCAAGCACTTTTTGAATCTTATCCATGGAGTTTATTTTCTTGTTTTCATGCAGTAGTGGGAATTAAATTCAGGGATGCTCTAACACAGAAGTACATCCCCCAGCCCTTTCTATTTTATTTTGAGACTTTTTGCTCAATTGCCCAGGCTGGCCTTGAATTTGTAATCCCCCTCCCTCAGTCTCCCAAGTAGCTGGGATTACAGGTGTGCTCCACTACATCTAACTTCTATCTAGCTTCCTGATTTAATAGTGGACCTACAATTTTTTTTTTTTGGTATCAGTGATTAATCCCAGGAATGCTTAACTACTGAGCCACATCTCTATCCCTTTTATTTTTTATTTTGCCACAGGGTCTCACCAACTTGCTTAACACCTCACTAAGTTGCTGAGGATGACTCTGAACTAGTGATTCTCCAGCCTCAGTCTCCCAAGATCCTGGGACTACCACCATGTGCAACATTATTAACAAAAATTTAAGGTGATGCAGATGCAAGTGACTCGAGGATTTTACTCTAACAATATTTGTTGATATTTGGTGCATTAGACCTTTCTGCAAGAAAGGTCTGTGATAAAATCAGCATTTAATAGGAATAATGTCTCAAAAGACCCTAAGTCTCTAGGTAAATATACTAAAACAGACCAAGAGGGAAAAACAACCCAGAGATTTGTCAAACAGTAGAATCAGTTGAGTGGTGAGTTTTGGAGAAGGAAGAATGAAACATACCAACACAAGCCAAATCCACATATTTTCACTACAGCAATGCTAACAAAACAAATGTTATTACTCTTTAGTTAAAAGGAATAGGGATTCATGATGGAAACCAGAAAATTAACTTCCTGGAATATGGTTTTTAATCATGTGGAACACATCATTCTAAAAACTGAGCAGTACACATAAAATATAACCCAGTGCATTTTACCCAACCTCCATGAGCTCTGGGTTTTACTGTCAGATGAAAGGATTAAGCTTTGTATGCCTTAAGGCCTCTTTCTACAATAAGGTTCAAATTCTGAGTTAAAATCCATCTTGTGGAAGTGGTTGCAAACACTGAGAAATACTTTTTAAATAAAGCTCTCTTAAATTCTCTTCTCAAATGTTATCTGGCCAAAGACATTCTCCCTTACCACACATGAAGTAACCTTAATTATTCTCAAAAGAATTTTCCATCATCAGCTTCCTGATCAACAAACGAAACACAGTACACGTAAAATCTAAGAAAAAATAGTGTGTTGAAAGAGATTTCTATCTGCCTGCCTTTTTTCTTTCTTTGATTTTTACCTCACCTCGTCAAGGAAAGTTGAGCAAAGCACTTAGAATCAGATTATCAAGAGGTAGTACAAATCCTTCTCTGCCCAGGCCCTGAAAGCCTGGAGAGCCAGCCACCCATGGTGACGTCTGTCACATAGCATTCTATTAAGTATTTCAGATCTCCATCAAAGCTCCATGGCTTTAAACTTATAACTGGTCCCAAAGTCCAGTCTTAGGGCATATGATCAAAATGCAGGTATTTTTTAAAATTCAAAGCACTGGATCTGTTTCCTCTGCTATGTACCCCTCTGTATTCTAGCATTGCTACAGATTATAGCATAAATCTTTATTGTGTAACTTACCTCATTTGAATGTAATTATAATGAATCTACCCAAAAGTTATAAAACTTACATGCCCCAAGTTCTAGTGCTAAAGAAATACACGCTACCATCTTATGCTCAAGAAAGTCATTACTCCACTTTCCTCAACCAGTGTCCTCATCTGAACCACAGAAAACAGAAAATCATTTCAGAAACTGTTTTTTCAATTCACCCAGGAATGACACACTGGATGTCTTAATACATGAGGGCTTAATCTTCTTGGGAAACTCGAATTGGTCGAATACTGGCATAATTAATTATATCATAGTGGCAATAAGCGCTTTGGTAAAGATAAATCTAAGGTGAGGTGGAAAAGCAGAGTAAGAGTTCCAATTGCTTCTATGTTCCTAAATCCTGGTCCATGTCTTAATTCTTTTCCTCTCCTGGTTTATCATTCAGACAAGGGCCCATTTATGGTGGTCATTTAATGCATTTATTTGTTGTTGAATTAAAAGTATTAGAATTAAATTTTTGTGGTTATGGTTCTTTGGAATCTGGACAACACAATTCTGATTATCCTATAAATGTGTTTCTTCAGTGCAGGAGACAGCTGGTACTCAGTGAGGGCTTGTTGAATAAATGAAACATTTAAAAGGGTTGTCCCTATCCTTCAATAGGAACTTGGTAGCAAAAACACAAACATTTAAAAAAAATCAAACAATCAAAAAGAGATTATTGAAATAAAAAGCAAGCTGATAACATGAATAAATATTTGTTCAAAGAAGCATACAGTAGCTATGGTATATAAAAAGATGTTCACTGTCACTAATCATAAGGAAATACAAATCAAAACCGTGATGAGATATGACCTCATACCTGTTAGGGTGGCTAGTATTAAGAAAATAAAAGACAAGTGCTGGTAAGTATGTGGAGAAATAGGTACCCATTTACATTGTTGGTAAGGATTTAAAATGGTGCAACTACTATGGACATTATGGAGGTTTCTAAAAAAATATTAAAATAGTATTACAACATGATCTAACCATCCCATTTCTGGGTATTTATCTAACAGGACATAAATCAGGATCTTGAAGAAATATTTGTACTCTCACATCCATACCAATGTCATTCATAATAGCCAAGTTATAGAAACAACCAAATGCCCATCAATAGATGAATGGTTAACAACACACACACGGAAATATTACTCAGTTTTTAAAAACAAATTAATTCCTACAGTATGTGACAAGGATCAAGGTCATTATGCTAAACAAAAAGTCAGTTGCAGAAGGACAAACTCTGCATGATGCCACTAATATGAGGTCTCTAGAATAAATTTAACTCATACAAGCAAAGAACAAAATAGTTGTTAACCGACAGTTATAAAATTTCAGTTAAGTAAGATGAAAAAATTCTTGAGATATGCTCTACCACATTGTTCCAACAGATTACAATTCTGTGTTGGACACTTAAAAATATGCTAAGGGGACAAGTTCCTGAGAGACTGAAGAAGAATCAGAGATCGAGATGCCTGGTAAAGCAAATGCTTCTCAGAGAAAGTCTCAACAGCTGAAAAGCAATTCAGAAAGAAAAATCAACAATGAGGAACTGGAGTTGTCAGAGAAACATGTTAGAAACAAAGGAAAAAGAAATAAAAATCATTCAAAGCATTTATCTTCTGAAGTACAAACAAAACATACTAACCTAAAGCAGATAAAGACAGCATCCAACAAGAGAAGAACCTGGCAACTTCTTTCAAAGAGTGCCAGAGAGCATTTGCAAACTATGATAGAATCAGTAATAACAGCAATTATGAGTAACAAAATTAAACAAAAAGAACAAATTCAATATCATCTCAACTACCTGAAGACAAGATTGCTACAATTGTGTGAAACCATGAAAGTCCCTCCCAGAAAGCTGAAATATTTAACTAATGTTTTAAATCTACTGAAAATGGAAAAGGCACAAGATAGAGCTAATGAAGAAGGTCTGGCATTATTGCAGGAAGAAATGGACAAAATAGTACAGACCACAGAATCTATGACTGAAAATATTCATAGTCTAAAGAACAAAATTCAAATTGTGGCACATGAAGTAGAAGAAGAGATGGTAAAACAGATGCTTCAAATGGATTGTAGTGGGGTACTCCCTCTTCCAGAACTTTCTCAGAACAGTCTTAAATCACCCATACTTCACAAAGAAATTTTGATGCTAATTCCAAACCAAAATTCTCTTGTAAAAGACTTGGATGCTCTTCAAAATTCATTCCAGATGAATAACTTGTCAATGTTCATCAAAGAAGCCTAAAGAAAACTAGATGCCTCTTAAAGAGTTTATTTTTTTAGATTGTTTCATATTAATTTAATGTTTATGAATCTGTAAAACTGTGAACCTATGATGATATTATAGAGGCCAAAGCCTAATATGTACTTAAAATTTGCATCTAATATAGTCCTGAAAACTCTGTCTAGAGCAGCTGCTAAATCTAGAAAATCAATATTTATATTGTTGTATCTTGTAGTTATTTGTGTAAACCCATAAAATAAGAATAGCCATGATCTAATGATTTATAATGACTGTATGAAGTTCATTTATTGGTTGGCATAGAATTGTCACATAGTGACTTCTTATATGTAAAGTGTTTATGTATAGTGCCTAATGAATAGTTATATAAGTATTTGCTGTCATTCATTCTTTAGCTGATGGCTTGCATTTTTCTTTCTAGTCACCTGGAACTTGAGAAATTCCCAAATGTCTTCAGTCTTACCTGACTTACATCTTTTTGTGGACTGATTACGATTTGCCACATATCTTTAATTTTAAAAGTAGCATCAAATTTTCTTTCTTTGGTTGGTTAACGAGTAGATGTTGAATATTTATTTTCCGCCTTTATCAAAGCATATTTTGATTTTTAAAAATTATTAAACAGGAACCTAAGCACATTTATTCCTTAAAACAAAAACCAACCCAAAAGACTGTTTTGGGGAAGCTGAGTGTATAAGAACTGGCTGTCAAAGGTAAAATAAACTGAAACCAAAGACAAATTCAGGATTACATAAAATGCAGTTTATTAGAGACTGTGGAGTATGTCTTGTGTGGCAGCAAGACAAAAGAATCCCTTCACCCTACAGCATAAAGAACGTATCCCACAGCCAACCAAAATGCACCTGAGCTTTCTCAAATACTGTTAACATGTCAAAAGTCAGGTAAGGGACAGTTCAGGTGTCACTGTCCAACCCAAATGCTCAGCTGACTATCTTAATGGATTTGCTTATTGTACAGAGTTTGGAATACAGGGTCGCCTGGTGGCCAGATGATGTTTGCTATCAAGGTGGCTATAGTCATTTCAAACTGGATCCCTACAAATCCCCTTCTTATAAACTTGTTCTCATTAGGTTGTAAGCCTCTTTGTGTCAATAAGTGATTACTATAAATATACCAAAAACCTTTCCTAAGCCACTACTGTATATTGTTCTTTTATCTTTTTGTAAAATAAATTAACTACAGTTTGTTTGTCTAAAAAAATATGCTAAGGGGTAACTCTCATGTGAACTTTTCTTACCACAAAAGATAAAAAAAAAATAGTTAAAAATAACATTTTTCTTTTCTATATTGAAACTATTTATCCGGCTAGATGACATATTTACCTTTTTTCCAAAGCTACTAATCAATTCTTTAGGCAGTTCTTCCTTCTCAAACAAAAATCATACATATCAATAAAGTTTTAGAAATGGAAACAAAAAAACAAAAAGATGAAGGTTTGCATCTTAGGAATCTTAAGAATGACTTAAAAACTAATATGAATATAAAAATCTTCCCTATTGATTGATGATCACTTCCTGTATGTCACTTCAAATTCAATTTGCTGTTTGTATAATGTGTATTTCAAACACAAAACAAAAATAAATATATTAAGTCTGAAAGTAATGTATTGTGAAGTCAGAAAATGTTACATTTTCCTAGGTGTGAAGAGGGAATGGAGGCTAGTGTTTTTAGTGTTATTCTCATACTTAGTTTGGATATGTTTTCAAGAACAGATAGCCTCTAGTTACAAATTGAGTTTATGGTAAGACAATATGAAAACATATGCCATAAAATTCTTGTATCCTAAATAAATTTTGAGGAAGTCTCTGATACCTGCTTCTCCTACAGCACAGTCATCCACCACTCTGTTACAGGCAGAGCTGCCTTGTTATATAATATTACATAAAGTGCAATCACACTGTTCCTGGGATTTATAGTGTCATCATTTACATCAGTTAAAGGTATCCTTTAATTGGTCATCAAGAAAATAGTTTAGAGAGGTACCATACTTCATAGTTGCCTCTAGGGGGCTCTTTATAAAAGTCTTGTTGTGGCAGCAGGATTTCCCTAAATGGATGCTTAATGCCTCAAATTCCTCATTAATATACACCCAAGGAAGAGTTTACTTTTTTTAAAAATGGAAACAAATATATAGTAATCTGTTCACGTTAGCAAATTGTGGTTAGGTAAACTAAGTAAAAACATGGCCTTAAAAATGTATATAGAAAATACAGCATAAGAACATTACCATGCAGAAATAATAATTAGCCCAAGTAATCCTGTACTTGGTGACTTTCAGCATTTTGGCAGGGGAAAGAATTTTTCTATGAAAGCAGCACAGTAAAAATCAAATGAAATGGCAGTACATCTAGTTTACATTGTTATTAAAACACACAGGCATTTTACTTTAATGGTCATGGGCTTAGTTCCAATGATTTCAAAATCAAAAAGCTAACTACTTGGATAGCAAATACATTTCATCTTTAAACTGTAGTTGCCCCTAATTTGAATAGTCAGAAAGAATCATCACACATTATCCCTATGTGTGTCCTCATGGCTTATTGGCTTTCAGTCCAATCAGATGAGAACACCCAGACTTTCACCTCTGGAAAAAAGATGGAAGTGGCTTGGAGTGAACTGAATATTTCTGTGAGATTTTTGGAACTTTGAGACACTGAGATTCCAGCTGTAACCCTCAGAGTCACTACTAAGCTAAGTTTTTCATTTTAACTAGTTACGCTTTACATATGAGGTATTTCCCAAAAGCTCATATGTGAGACAAGGCAAGAAAGTTTAGAGGTAAAATGATTAGATTGCAATTATCTTAAACCTAATCAGTGCATCAATCCTCTGATAGGGATTAACTGAGTGGTGACTGTAGGCAGGTAGAGTGTGGCTGGAGAGGGTCAATGTGGGTGTGTCCTTGGGGTTTACATTTTGGGAACTGTCTCTCTCTGCTTTCTTGTTTCATATCCCCAGCTGCTTGTGTCCACCACACTTTTCTGCCATGATGTACTGTCTCACTGCAGGCCTCAAACCACTAAGTCAGCCATCTATGCACTGAGACCTCTGAAACTAGGAGTCCCAAATTAATTTCCTCCTCTAATTCTTATTGTCAGGTATTTTTTGGTCATGGCAACAAATAGGTGACTAAAATTCAAATCTGCATTGCAATTTAGGAATATCCTCGTCTAGGTTAGTTGGCAATATTCAATGATACATACAATAACTGTACACTGTATTGAGAACAATAGCAATATAACATAATGGTTGGGTACTCTAACTTGGTGATTCTCAAACTTTAATGTGTATAGAGTCATTTGGGGATCTTATTAAAATGTAGATCCTGATTCAATAGATCTTTAACCCAGGAGGTGATACTGATGATGCTGTTTACAGAGCAGATCTCCAAGTAGGCTAGATGTTGCTGATGGACTTCCTTTCTTTTAAACTACCTAAATACTCAGTTGCACAGCCTAGTTTTGAAATTGTTCTTATATATATTCTATATAATTTTATATAAATGTGTTAGGAATGAATAATAAACTACATAATTATTAAATAATACTTAAAGGCATACTGATGAGGAATTAATTTTAATCCTTGATGATGTAACCTTTTAGCTGAGGTCATTTTACTCTTTCAAACAAACATTTAAGTCTGAACATATAAGATCCTGAACTACGGTGGTGAATACAGGAAAGAAAGACAACCACTGTTTCTGAAAAATAATGTGAATTGAAATCTAGTGATGACACTGATAACATCCTTAGAAACTAAAAGGATTATTTGTTTTAGAAATATAAAAATTAAATGATTATTCCCAATTCAGTTCCTTAACAAGATATCCATGTTTTTTCTTAAACTTCTATATTTCTTAATTCTTCATTATCTTAACTAATTTCTAATATATCAGAAAATAGATATTATAATTTTTGTATAACTAAAGAAGAAAGCACACTGGGTATAGAGTCAGTAAGTACAGATTTTCTTCTAATTCCTTTTACACATTAGTTAGGTGATCTTGACAATGTAAGAAACAATTTGTAATTTCCAATTTAATTTCATTTCCTAACAAAGCTTAAATGGAAAACTTTTAAAATGAGATAATGTGTAAAAATATCATAAATTTATCTGTGATCATGACAACCCTCATATAGAGGTTCAGTGCAAAATGAAAATGAGGACCTCATTCACAAGTTATTCGGTTCTGGGGATGTGTAGTTCAGTGGTAGAACAGAGACCCCAGACCTTCAAAGAAATTGTTAAGAATTTCAAGATGGCAATTAGAAGATATCAAATCACGAATGGAGCCCTTCTTTGTGTGGATTCCTGTGTGACTGCACATCAAATGTCCACGAGCAGGTCCTACCTACAAAATAATTGTAGTTACTAATCACCATATTAATAATTTTCATATAGCTAATACTCCATTGAGATATTATAATATGCAAGGCACACTTTGACTGCTTCGGTTACACAGAATCACTTACTCCTTTAGAAAGGAAAAAAAATGAAGTACTAGAACATTCAATATCTTATCTCAGGCCATGCAACTACCAAGTCTAGAAAGCCAGCATTTGTCTGATCCTAAAGGTCTATCTGATTCTAAAACCATCTACTTTAACTAATTTAATGCAATGAGTTCTCTATAGCAATCTATTCTTTTTTCCATTTTATTTGAATTTAGAAACTTAGGCTCAGAAAAATATTTGGACAATTCACTTAAAGTGACCTTGATTAGGTCATATACTTCCAACTAGTCCTCTGATATTCCTGGTACCTCACAAAAAATCTGGTATTGAGTACACAGTCATGTAATACACATGCAACTAAACTGAGCACCAGAGCCACCTGTGTTCAACAAAGAAAAAAATCTAATTTTCCTATTATTCAAAATACATGCTTCTGAATAATTGTTTTCATTTTAAAGAAATTAATTTGTTTTAAATGTTTCTCATTAGTGATGATTTTCCTGAAAAAAATACCATACACAAAAATAA